AGGATGCTGTTGATGTGTCAAGTTTTTATCCATCTCACATGTTCTATATTACTCAACACGAGATAAGCACATCATTGTATTGTTTATTGCAACATCATCATTAATGTGTGTGTGTGTGTGTATCTATTGAATTGAAATATCTATTAGAAATTGTGAAAAGTTATGCTATTTATAAATGATAAATTGTTGAGTTTCAAACAGGGAGTCCATGCGGATCTTAAAACGCTACTGCTGATGAGAAGTCACGAGTCAGTAGGTGGCTACTGGAGCTTCCTTCAAGGCTTCAAGTATCAATCTTCAATGACACCTTTTGCATGTTTAAGTCATCAAAAGGGTCACTTTAATATTTTCATATTAATTTATAACCCTCCCTAATTTATTTAAATATTTTATTTTATTTCATATAAACTTCCTACTCAGCCTATCTCCTTTTCCCCCCAATTTATGATGACGTTGGGCTTCAAAAATAGTGAGAAAAGCAACAAATTGGCATATAAGTTCAAGCCTAAAAGCCCAGAAAATGAGTAGGGATTGATCTTAGCCGTAAGCCCTTTTATTTCAATTGACTTTTTTTAATTTCTCATTCTCAATGCCTAATCCTAATTTGAAAATATTGTATCCCTTTTTATAATTATGCCACACAACAATGTGTGCATTTAATTTTAATGAACTCCAAGAATCTTCACCTACATTAGGGTTAATCCTGTGAGGAGAGAGAAAGATAGATAAACTGAGATGAGACTTGCTTACTCTTATTGCATGGGGTGTTTGGTATATGAGTGTGTTTGAATGAAAACCAAACTATAGTTTTGAAAATAATTTAACAGTATACAAAGTAAATAATTTAATTTGTGAAAAAATGCTTTTAAAAAACACTTCTGGGGATATCCAAACAACCCCAATAAAAAATAACTTTTAAAATGTTCTTTTATACAAGTCTAGATAAAATTTCTTTCACATATTTATTTTGCATATTATAAAATCACTTTTAAAAACAGTGGTTTGTTTTCCACCCAAACACTCCCTATAAATCATTTTTAACTAATTCACACGTATCAATAAACAAATAAATAAAGATATATAGTAAGGTGAGAAAAATCCATCACTGGTCTCTCTCTCTCTCTCTCAATTCTTTTCCCACTAAAAACCTGTATTTTATAATTTTAAAAGAGTGAACAATAAAACAAAAACATCATAGCTTCTCTCGTCAGGCTTCACCTCTGGTCTAAAAAGTGGAGAATGATTAAGAATACAAACATTAATTTATATCCTATGAGCTAATTTAGCTAAACAATATGCAGAAGAGTTGTCTTCTTTACAAACATGCCTAATAATCACTCACCAGTTCCTATGAACAAGTAAATTAACTTCATCTGCAGTGTCCATGAAGGGATAAATACTATCATATCCCGTAGCTAGGATATTACTTACTTGTATATAATCACTATAAATAACTATTCTCCTAAAACTTTTAGACCAGCACAAATTGAGTCATATACGAAACCGATCTCTTTAAGTAATTAACTTCTGAACGTTCATGTCAATAATATATGTGTGTATATATACTACCTCCAATCCTAATTATAAAAGCCAGTTGACTATGTTGAAGAGATTAAGGAAATAACTTAAGTTAGTTATTTGTAATAAATAGGTGTTGCCTTTCCTAAAATATCATTACTAATCAAACGTATTGGTTAGAATTACCTTTATTAAAAGGACTACCTTAAAAAAATATAAATATGAGAGACAAAGTAAATTAGAGTTTTATATTTTGACTAAAATAAAAATCAAATAAAGTTTTATACTAAGGATCAGGGAGATTACTATGGTGATAATGCTTTGCTTGTAACTTTTTCTGTCCAATGTCTTGGTAAACACAACAAACAGCCGTCCCTATCCCTATATATACAAGTTCTTTTCCCATGTGTATAGACATAAAAAATACAATATATTCCAATGTTATATACATTACAAGCAAAGAAAAGAATAGGATCCCTTGTAGCCGACCACTTTATGTATATACTTGTTTATTAATGTTTGCTAAAACATGAAGGTGTCAAAGTGTCAACACGAGTCTTTGTGGTCCTGTTTATGAATCAACATTCAAATACTAAACAACTTTTATGATCCTTACCCTCTTTCCAGGAAATCAACTTTATTATTTTCTCAACAAGAAAACAATGGTCAAGTTTGCTGCGTTTGATGTGGTTCATGTGAACTAACCCAAATATTAACTTCCTATTCTTTATTATACATATATACTACCTCTGGTCATAAATATAAGAGCTAGTTGATTAATTTGAATAAATTAAGAAAATAAATTAAGTTAGTTATTGTAATAAATAGGTGTTATATTTCCTAAAATATTCTTGTTAATCAAATTTATTAATTAGAACTACTATTATTAGAAGGACTATCTTAGAAAAAAATGAATAAATATGAGAAACAAAGTAGATTTGGATAGTATATAAAAATCAAACGAAATATTATATTAAGAACCAGAAGTAATATATATCAGTCTATTTTCAAAGGCGACATCTAATCTTGATTAATTTACATTAAGTTAGGTCAAATTACATAAGTATAAAACTATTTCAAGTGACATTTTTTCTTATACACACACATAGATCAAATTATTTTTATAAGCTGCATTCAATTTAATTACTTCAGATTAAGTTAGGTTACATTGAACTACTCCTTCTGGTTTTAAATATAGGAACTAAATAATTAATTTATATAGATTAAAAAAAATTAGTTATTTATAAAAGGATATGTATTGCTTTTCTCAAAGTACATATTAATATAATCATTTACGTGAGAAACTACTCTAATATGTTGATAAAATACCTTTTAATATATGCAATCAATAAGAAGAGTTTCCTACAATAAAAAATAGTAAGGTTTAAAATTTCGCATTTAGCGCTTAATAAATACTACCTACTTCATTGTTATCTATTGATTATTTATTGATAGGTACTGCTTTAAGAAGTGCTAAAAAAGTGTCGTAAGCGGTAATATTTATAGATAAAAAAATCAAGAGACAAAGTGAATTAGCCTTATATTTAAAATCAAACAAAGGAATTAGGTATATGAAATGAGAAACTTATTTAGTCAAATGACAATTTTTTCCCACTAAAACAGATTAAATGTTTAAAATGTTGAAAGTAGTGAGGCATTTAACCACATGAACAAAATATCCTAGTCAAATCCTATGAGCTGTATATTAATTCTATAGCAAATTAATTAATGAATATGCTTGCAGGCCGACCGTTTGATGGTGTTATTTAATTTTATTTGTTGAAGCACATATCGCAGTTTGTCAACAATAGGAGCTATGCATTTTTCGGCCATTTAATCCAGAGTCTCCTAACAAAAATTAAATTTTTATTAATTGTGGTTTAGGTTTGTAATGATAGTTATTTTATTTTTAAAAATTATGATTCTTAATGTTTTTTGACGAACACTGAATTGGTAACTAACTTTTATTTGAACTTAACTCGGTATGGTCAAATCATGCTGAAATATACAAAATCGAGTCATTATCTTAAGAGATCAACTTATAAATAAATGACTTGGCTTACTGGCTTCTCATTATAAAGCTCACACTTTTATTTCGTTTAAATGGCATTGTATAATTTATATAATCGACCATATTTAATAAGATAAGACTCGTTATTGTTGTTGCTCAAATTAAATTTGAAAGATTTTAATTTTCCTGTTAAGACATAGAAAACTAAATCCTCAGAAATTAAAAACACAGCTGGTTTATGGAAATTACTGTAACTCGTGATCATAATCGAAAATCAATATGTTTATTTTATTATATAAAAAAATAAAGTTATTTGTTCTACATTCATCATATATGAATGAGAAGTTTATTTTTAATGAATATTTGAAATTTTAATTTTAAATTAATTTGTTATATTTGAAAGTATTATCAGAATGTCAAAAAAATTCTCATTTCAGAGCTTATTATTTAAACTCGATTATTCTTTTCCCATTAGATCTTGTTTTTTATCTTGTTTATTCTTCACCGCCAGCAGTAAGGAATTAGGTCTCCTCCCACTTTACTTACTCTCTCTCTCTCTCTCTCTCTCTATATATATATATATATATTCCTTCATTACATAATGCAAATTGTTTTCCCTTAGCCTAGCAGTTTAATAATTATTATAACTACCCTTTAACTAATATTTTAGTTCAAAGATAATTAGACTAGACTTATGGATTGGAAAGGTACTACTCTTTTTCTCTATGATATAAATCATTTTAACTAATTTATCAGTGTTATAAAATGGGGGTATTAATTCATTAAACCTGTCATAAATTGAAATTTTTTTCTAACCTTTTCCATGTCAAACGAGATTATAAAAAAAGAAAAATATAAAGAGTTACATTTAGATATTAATTACATAAATAAAATTAATAAATAAGGATTAAATGTTCTTCGTGTAACTTATATTTCAAAGTAAATTATTCGGAAAACGATTTATATTGTGAACAAGTATAACTCCTGGCAAAAACCAACAAAACAAAACAAAAGGGAAGTACTACAATTCAACAGAATATTCGATTGAAAAAAATCTGTTCTTCGGATCGTAGAATGTTGTTGACATTTAACTCCGGACACGTGGCGAACTATTATTGGAGGAACATTAAAAAGCTGAATAAGAAATGGCTACAGCCCAGACATCCAACGATACAAAAAGGTGATTGGTTAATAATCCTTCAACTTTCTTACTTTACATTGCCAATCCAATCATTTCATATGGACGCACAAATCCCTTTTGTCAAGGTAGCCGTTGTACCCTCTCCTTCCAAATAAATAAAATAAAATAAAATAAAATAAATACAAGTATACAATGCATACCTACACATCCTCCTTGTATTTTTCTTTATCACCAAGCAATCCTCTCTCTCTCTCTCTCTTCCTAGCTCCGCTCCTCCTGTGCTTTAAATTCCTTCTTCCCTTCTCTTCTTCGCTTTTCAATCTCCTTCTTCAATACCACCTTCTTCTTTTCAATGATGGTTTCCTCTGTTTCAAAATCCAGTCTTTCTATTCCGTTTCTCCCTCCTCCTCCTCCTTCGTCTTCTCCAAGCAGTACTAGTGACAGCATTAGTGACACCGACGATGGAAGCAGCATAAGCCCTTTTTCGTCGAATCGATTTGATTCCCTTGACGTCAAAAAGTTTCAACTTTCTTCCATACCCGTTTCTGGGTTTTCTTCGCATCGATCCTTGGCTGTTCTCTCGGGTCACATCGGCTCTGTTTCTTGCCTGGCCTTGTGTGGCGAGTTCATCCTCAGTGCTTCTCAAGGCAAGGACATCATCGTATGGCAACAGCCTGATTTGAGGGTTTTCACGAAGTTCGGACAGGGAGATGGATCTGTCAAAGCTCTTGTCTCAGTTGGCGACAAGGTTTTCACAGCACATCAAGATAGCAGAATCAGAGTCTGGAAGGTTTCCAGAAGCTCCGAGAACGTGTTCAGGCTTGTAGATTCGTTACCCACAACGAAGGACTATTTGGGGAAATTCATGAAGCAGAGCAACTACGTCCAAACTCGAAGGCACCACAAGAAACTATGGATCGAACATGCTGATAGCATCTCATGCTTGACAGTTTGTAACGGCTTAATCTACTCAGGATCATGGGATAAGACCCTAAAGGTATGGAAGCTCTCAGATTTGAAGTGCTTGGAATCCATTAAAGCTCACGATGATGCCATCAATGGCGTGGTTTCTTGTAAAGGGATTGTGTATTCTGCTTCTGCAGATGGGAAGATCAAAGCTTGGACACCAGGGAAGGAGAAGAAAACGCATTGTTTAAAAGGGATTCTAGAGGGTCACAAAGATGTTTCATTCAATTCTGTGCTTGTTTCTGATGATGGAAAGTGGGTTTATGGAGGAGGATCAGATGGGTATATAATGGGATGGGAAAATAATAGTAATAATAACAGTAATAGTGGGAATTCTTCTGCTAATAGTAATTGGAGTTTAGTTTCTGAAACAAAAGCACATGAAATGGCAGTTCTGTGTATGTGTTTAATAGGGGAGTTTCTGTTCAGTGGATCAGCAGATAAGAGTATTGTTGTTTGGAGGAGAGAGGCATTTGGGAAGCTTAGTAAATTAGAGGTCATAAATGGCCATGAAGGACCAGTGAAGTGCTTGCAGGCAAGTTTTGATAGGGTTGGAGGTGGGTTTTTGCTCTATAGTGGAAGTCTTGATAAAAGCCTGAGGGTCTGGTGGGTTCCTAAGTACAGTGATGAAACACAAGACAAGTCAACAACAATAATTCCAACAAGCTCTCTCAACAACAAAACCATTGTCGGATAAGGTTGTTGTTTCACTTGGCAGAAGCAAACCTTTTATTGACTATAGTGTTATTTTGCGTTTGATTCTCATCAGTGATCTGCTCTTGGTAAAGTTTGCGAGGTTCTTTTATGAAGCAGCAGATTCCTATTTTTTCTGTATCTGCAATGCTTCCTTCTTCATTGATTGGTGGAGTAACATACGAGATAGAAGGCCAAAAGTTTGAATTTTTTTTTTCCTTTTCTCTGTAATTGCATTGATACTTTTCTGTTTCTTTGTGTCATTCAATGTATGATATTTTTTAGGATTAAATCAAGGAGGGGTTCCTTGATTTCTCATTTTATTTCGGATTAGAAAGTGGAGGTACATAAGATAGAGAGCAAAGAGGTGTGATTATACATTGTTAATTTCATTATTCTGTATTTTTTATTGTGGGTGTTGTAATTATTGATTCAATTGATGGAAATTTAAAAATATATATATTTCTCATGTGGTTGGTTGCATGATCGATTATGGTACATCCATTTGCAGTTAGTAGCAGAACATGGCGTTTACAGTAATCAAAATGACACTTGGCATCTATGTTTCCTAGGTATCATTATTTGAGCTCTTCACCAACCAGGAGAAAACATTTTAAATAAAAACAAACATTGTTCTTAATACAACAGAGATTCTCCCAACAAACGATTCTGCCGTATTTTAAGCTAAGGAATCTTGTCCTTTGTAATAACTACACGAAGTCTTCACTGATATGTAGTATATCAGTCATATATATGTATGTGACAGAATCTTATTGTGAAGACATTAATGGTTAGTGATAATAATAAGGATTAGTTCTAACTTCCAAATAAGGTCAAATACAACAAGACAATCTCATTTGTAACAAGATCATTACAAAGATGAGCAAGATTCATGCTGTGTACTTTTTTTTATTCTGTAAGAACAAAAAGTTCATATGTTTTTAAATCTTTTTTTTTTAAAAAAATATATAGCTATTTGATTAGGTTATACTCCTCCGATCCTAATTATAAGACCCAATTGACTTATTTGAGGAGATTAAGGAAGTAAGTTAAGTTGGTTATTTATAATAAATAAGTGTTGTTATTCCTAAAATATCCTTGCTAATTAAGTATATTGGCTAAAACTATCATTATTAGAAGGATTATCTTGGAAAAAAATACATAAATATAAGAAAGAAAATGGATTGGGTCTTATAATTAGGACCAAATAAAAAGTCAAATTGGGTCTTATAATAAGGACCGGAGGAGTATTTGAGTAATGTCGGGCTCAATTGGGAGTACTTCTCTTAAAAATGTTTTCTGCATTTACACGGTATCAAACTTGAGACTTTGTGATTAAACAGTCATAACCTCTTCCATTAGGACAAATACTTATCGAGATTTGTTTCTAAATGTAGATATTTCCTTGTTGCATATAATAATTCAACCTTAAAAAGCTTGTATAGCATGTTGTTCATTACCAATGCTGCTAATATAATGAAAAGTGAAATTACATATTTTCTATACACTAAAATAGTTATTAAAAAACTTTGGACCATCAAACCAGTGCTTATTCAAATAAAACGTGTGGACACCAAAACAAAAGTATATATAGAATAGCCTTTTCTTTATGTTGTTCCACCGTCCATTTGGTACAAAGACACTGAAAGCATGTTATATATATATATATATAGGACCACGTAAAAGTCTTGAAACAAGGGGAACTGTTCCTTAAAATTATGTACAAAGCCGCCATTAAGTATTCACCTTCCACAACTGGAAAAGAGGGACAACCTAATTCCTTTGGCTCTCCTAATGTCGTGTGTTCTGGAACCACAAACAACAAAAAAGAATGAATGTTCAATTCATGTAAATGAAGGCAAGCCATCATCTGAAGCATCAATTGTTTTTTTTTTTTTTTGTTTCCCTTTTCCCGTGTTTTTTTTTTTCACAAATGTGGCAGTGAGACTTTTGGAGCACTAACTAAGAAAAAGATTGAACTCAAATGAGATCAAGTGTTACTTCAAATTTTTACTTGTAAGAATGATAATGTGTGAATGATTAACTTATAATCTACTTTGCTTATGTTAACGCATTTTCTACAATTATCGGACACACAGTAGATAGTACTATCAATCAGTCTACATTTGAGCATGATCATATTTGAACAATAATAATTCTTCCAATATGATTTTTTTTTTAAAATTATAAGATTCCAACTTTCAATTTTACTTAAAGATTGAATCTCTTTCATTCATTCTTTTTTTTTTATAGTGCTATCTGATTAGGTTAGATTTGAGAATTGTTAGATCTGATTTCTTCTGAAAACATTTTTTGCATTCACATGAACACAAGCTCAAGATCTCATACTTAATGAGTCAAAGCACATTCCTCTAGGACTAGCAGGGATTGGTCTCTTTCCCTCATTCTAATCACTGCTCATGAGGTGTCTACACTTTTGTTATGAACTTTTTTGTATTAAAGAAAAAGTTAATTATTTCTTAATTCAAAAATATCCCTTTTTATTAAAAAGAAATTGTTAGCTTGCCACTTAGCTGTTTTCACTTTAGTTATAGATATGAATTTGCATCTGATTTCTTTATTTTTACTTTTTATAGTCTAATGTAATTAAGAAGCCTGTTCAAGTCTTTGTTCATTGCGACCTAATTATATTCAACAAAATTACTCATTTGTTAGACTCTATATAACTCAAGCAACCTACATTAATTTGATAATAAAATAGTACATGCCCCCTCATTTGGACCAGCCCTCGCTTTTGAGGGATGGAAAGATGAAAGAAGCAAGTTCACAGAATGTGCATGCAATAAAGAATTGAATTAATGATTCAAAGCAACAAAATGATATAAAAAAACACATTATTACCTAATGGGGGTGCCAAACTTGAAAGATCCACTCATTTGTTTTAATTATTTAAAGTGGGTATTTCAAAAGTAACAATTTTAAATATTGGGTTGGTCTCTTCATCCTTAAAGAGCTGCACTTTTGGCCTTAGAGTAGGAATTCTGGGCTCAATTAGAGAAAACATGTTTTTCAAGCTTCTAACTTTGAATGAGGCGGAGAAGTCAGAAACAGAGGCCACTCAAAAAGCAAATCAGATGTAATTAACTTGAAGATGAACTTTGATCTGGTATATTGATGTATTAATTGAAAATTAGAAACTTTATTCAAAAGTTGCATTTGTTTGTTCAGATGGCAAAAGTCATGGGTTTTTTAAGGTGGTGAAGATAGGTTCACAAAGCATAAATTAGGTAATACATTGACTCAAAATGTTGATTTGTCTAAACAAAATTCAGGCTTGACCTGTTGAATCAAAACAAGGGTATATGAGAATAGCAATTGTTGAACTCCTACAAGCCTGAACTGTTCTAGGACTAATTCAAAGACCCATCCGGACAAGTTCCAACACATTTTAAAAATTTTATTCCCGTATTAAAATTAAATCCACCTTTTACTCAAGTCCTTAACAACGAACTAGAATGAAAATTCTTTTGAACTCTTCCTTGCTAGTTCACCAATAGAAAACTCGAGCACCATCAAAACAGTAAAACTTGTTAACATGAATGTAAATAATCATTTAACTTATAAAAAACTCAATTGGTCAAGGAAGCTTTTCAGATGGTATGCCTCTAGGAATTTCTGGTACTTTCAACTTTATGATTGTATTTCAGGCTGAACACAATATTCTTATGCATCCATTTCACATGTTAGGCGTAGCTGGTGTATTCGGCGGCTCCCTATTCAGTGCTATGCACAGTCCTTTAATATTATTTTTCATTTACATTTATAAGTTTTTTATATTCCTATTTATAAATTATTTTATCATACTACCAAAAAATTTTAAATATATTTTTTCTATTAATATCCTTGTCATGTATGCTGTTTAGCAATAATAAAAGGAGGGATTAAGAGAGGTTATTAAAAAAAAAAAAGGGGTAAAGTTACTTGACACATTATTTCAAGTTCTACAATCAATCACACATGATCATATGTCTTTTTTGGTTTCATATGAATTTATAATTTAATATTATTAAATATTAGTATTTTAAAAATAGAACACATAATCATATATAATTAAAAAACTTGACACAATAGATATAAAGAACTTGATGTAAATACTCCTCCGGTACTTAATATAAGATCCATTTAACTAATTTGATTTGACTAAAAAAGTTAAGTAAGTCCATTAATTATAAAAAATGTGACATGTTTTTTCTAAAATACTATAATCATCTTTCTCTTCCTCTTCTACTTGATTATAGTTGAAGAAGTATCCATAAGGATAATTTAGAAAAAAATTAATAAATATGAGAAATGGATCTTATATTTAAAATCAAAACCAACTCAATAATTATGTCCTATATTAAGGATATGAGGAGTATTATTCATTATCAAAATCCCGTGTTGAGTAAGGGCTTTTTAAGACGATTCTCATTAATTTTCTTAGCTTGCACAAATTTTTAAATGTGACTTATAAATGAAAACAGATTGAGTATAATAATATTTTCTAAAATGAATGTTCTCAATGCACAATCAACAACCTTTTTTCTCAATCAGAATAGCAGTGCTTCCATTACACAAAAATAAATATGGAGTACCTCTCTTATTTTCATGATATTGGGTTCCCAAAAAGTTAATGACTTGCTATATTTTCACTTTTCATTTTTTTTTTTTTATATCTTCCCACTACAAACCAGAAGATTGTTCCTGATCAAGAACAGATGCTTGCAAGCTTTGCCAGAACTGGTAAGCAAGTCTGGCATGGAGCAGATGGCGCCAAAGAAATATGATAAGGCAAAAAATAATACAAATATCGCCAAGTCAAAGAAGAGGTTTCAAACAAAATGCACCGGTCAGATCAGAAAGCCGCATAAACTACAATATAGCTTCAATATTAACAGGGGCAAAGAGAGAAAAAAAGGGCAAGGCTGAAACTTCATAATAAAATATAAGTTAGAATCCCATATCTAACAGACTCCGTGTTATACATGCGGCATTCCTTAAGAATCTATCGCAACAGTATTAGGATACATCCCTTGGCGATGGCTAGAGGACTAGAAAACTCTTCACCCTTCTAAGTTAACAGTTATGCCAATCTGAAAAATAACAAATCACGCTGAAGCACGGGAAAACCATTAATGGCACCTTAGCAAATATGACATGAATCAGAGTCCTGGCTCCTGAGCGATGGATATGATGCTTGACCAGTTCATAAGTAATCTTTGACAAACGTTGAATGTAACCACCCACAACAGTAATTCGATAGCAGCCACATTTCTCAGGGGAGAAGTCAATGCTGGCATTAGCAGGAATTATGGCTTCAAACTTGTTTGTAGAAAAGAACATATGCTTGGTCATGCAACACCTTGGTTTCTCCGATGGCAGAGACTGATGCGTCATCAAACCGTAGCCACCTACCATTGGAGTATCGGGCATCAGCCGTGTAGTGGCCCTTTGAAGGCTCCCTTCCATGGTGGGTTATTGTAGCAACAAGCTCATATCTTCGACCCTGCAGAGAAATAAAAGTTGATCAGCAGAATCCATGAACAGCAGTATTCCTTCCAGAAACCACTAACAATGATAGTTATATTGAAAACCTCTTTTAAACGTACAATGCACTGTCAAGTAATTCAGCAAATATTGATTTTAAGATGAACTGACTAGAAAGCTAGTAACTCATTCATATTTCGTTTGCAATTGGGGAAACTGAGGGTGTACAAGGGGACATGAAGAACATAATAGCAATCTCCCCGAAAAAAATAACTTGAGATGGATGCACAAGAAACCAGATATCAATTCATATTTTTGTGTTTCTATCCATTTGCTGACAAACTTTCTAAAGTGGCTAGATCAATTGTGGGCAAAACAAAACGAAGGGGATTCAGAGAAACATCACATTACCTCAGTAGTTGGTGATACAAGCAAATCACGACCCAAAATCAACTCAAGAGGAAAATGCACTGGCTTATGCAGCTTAGTGCTTCCCTGGCTTCCATAACTAAAACGCATTAGGTGCAATATCATTATCTTGGAAAGTGTCTGTATCTGTACAGACTTTCTTGCACTCACAACGCCAGCCTGAAAGATATTTGTAATTATTAAAACATTATTGGTAGATGTAGAAAGCGTATAATCCAACACAACAAAAAGGCCATGCCACTATTATACAAAGCCTGCCTCGATATAGGACGTTGAATAAATTCCAAAATGTCCAAGCACTCTCAGTTATAATTACGGCCACGTGTGAGGCCACAATGCACACTAATTTGTCGATACAAAGGAAGAGATTGGATATAAAGGCAAATTCAGAAGCATCAAATGACCCTTCCGCAAAATTGAAAATGTCAAAAAAACAAAATCCACATAACAGGGAGCTGAGCAATGTAAAATGACATGGAAAAGGATAATCAATACAGTTCAAGATGTCTCTTAACACCATATTCATCTTTCTCTGAAACAAATAAAGACGCAGTGATATAAAACATGGATATTGGATGATCTCCTACCTCAACAGAGACTTGAAAAAACACAATGATCAAAATTATATTGTATTGAATATTCGATCGAAATTTGATACCATATCTAGGAAAGTAGATGTCTTGAACACTTTGCCACACCAAACTGATTAACCCAGAAATTAAATTGTCATGAAAATAATCAATATACTACTCACAATTAACCCAATTCAATTTTTTTTTTTTGAAATAAAGACACAAAAGACATCAAACATTTGATTTGGGACAAATACCCAACCTCAGTCATAGGCAAAATAGAAAACAGAGATCAAAACTATATGGTTTTGATTTTAAACTGATGCCATATCTAGGAAAGTCTTGAAAGCTTCACTAAACCTAAACGTCAAGGTGGAGCCAAGACTATCAATGCAATTGAAACAGTAGTGTAGACAGGGCTAACTGCTAGAATGACCATAATAAAGCTTCCATACCTTTCCAGTAGTGGATGTTCGAAAACCTTCAAGAGTTTCAGGTGCAGAAAACAAGTGAAGTGCATTCTCAATGGTGTTAACAGCATCAGGGTAAATGTCAAGATGGAGCAAAAGATATGGTTGAATGGTGGCAGAAGCTCGATTTCCTGAACAATAAATAGACAAAAAAAAGACCCAAAGAAGAGACGACAATTTTTTCTTAGGCACCGTTAGATACACAAAATAAAATAGAATAAAAATGAAGATAAAATAGAAAAGATGATTTTAAAGATGAGAAATATGCTTTATATCCTTTAATTAAAAAAATGGAAAACGCCCCCATACTGCATTTTCCTTGTAAAGTTTTATCATCAACAAGCTTTGTAAACCTACTAGTAAGTGAGAATTGGCATAATAAAATGTCACTCAGAAGAGCCAAAAGAAGAGCTACAGAACTACAGAAACTATACAATATGATGCAACACACAGACCAGACCAGGGTCCATTTTCCGATTCAATCCTCCTTTAAATTAAACTCTAGAAAACATCTCAACCGTTTAGGGTATCAATTTGCTTGTTCTGTACTAGTAACCTCAGACGGTTCATATCAATCCTACTAAGAATTCAACAGTCAAGCTTCCACCAATCTCAAAAACCAGTCAAGTTACAGTACAAAAGTATTCACTAATTATTTATCAGAATACATATACACACACTCCTTCAAGATATTCCATACCTCTAGCTCTCACCAAACTTCTTAATTGCCCACCAAAAATTTCACTTAACTCAGAAGGAAGGAAGCTTTGAGTCCTTGTGACAGCAGATTTGTTCTTTGGTCCCACAGTCTCCCACTCATCATCTTCCACAGAACAAACTAAGGATGAGTTGCCTCCATTAATACTTGACTGTCCTTCAAGCTTGAGCAATTCAATGTGCATTTGATCCATTACGAAGCTCAGAAATTCCTGAGCATCTTCCTGCCTGAAAGAAGCATCCAAAACCAAAGATTGTAGTAAAGCTTTATAATACAAAAACCATTATTTCATGCTCGGCCATGTGATTTCCACACTTCTTAATTACTACAGAACTACCCAAATTGAGTCTAAAATATTGGGAAAACAGAAACAAAATAAATTTATAGCAATACAAAAATACTAGCAAATCACAGAAAAGGAGACGGGGGGTTAAAAAGAAAGGTTGCTAAGATTGTATTTCTACGTTTATGTTGCTGTAATCAAAGTTTTTTTTTTTTTTGGGAGGGGAATAAAGCTTTCTAAAAATTACATCTCTCCATTATGCTATATGAAAAAAATAACTTTCGTTTGAGAACATGTATTTCTACTCCAAATTCACAGATTAGAGCGGATATCTGTTTCACAGTCATATCCTTGCTGTCAATGCTTTTAAGGTGCTAGATGCAAACTTAAGTAGTAGACATAGCAAAGAAACACTGAAAACAAGAGAAATTATTCTAGAAGGAAAAACACGTAAAAAACAATTCTCACAAACCTTGGTCTTCCTGATATGCTATTTGGCACATCTGGAGTAAAATTTTTCAGAACCCCTTCAAACATGACAGGGCAAAATGGCCTTCCTGTCTCAAGAGCAGCATCTTTCTTCTTTAAATTTGTGCTATTTGGCATGTCAAATTGAGCAATAAACTCAACAAACGCAGTCAATGTCGGATAGCCAGCCTAATAAAGAGCAAAGACAGAAGAGGCCATAGTTAGCACTTGACGTCATAAAATATCAATTAATTAAAAGATTCTATTTTCCTTTTTCTTCAAAGTAGAGAAGTCAAATAATCAAGTAATGAGTCCAAAAATTAACACCAATCATTTTCCAAATCCAGCTTTCAAATCTTTCTTTCATAAGTGGCATACAGAAGATAAGTTAAGCCAAAATGTTCATGAAGCGGTAGATGCTCATGTTAGAATAAAACTGTTCGTGCGTCTTTGTTTTACTTTGAGTTGAAGTGATGCTAACCTTAGGAATCTTGCGGGTTCTTAGTTCCTGCAAAAGCTGAACAAAATGAGAACAAGACAAGAGAGCTTGCACACTTGCATTTAGAAAGCACAAGTTTCCAGAGTTAATAAGGCCTCGAGGAAGGAGCTCTTTAGAGGATGTGACATGCCCATTTGATGCAATCTTAGGGTCTTGATCAAGACTCCCATTTTCGTCCACATGCTTCAGGCTTCCAATCTCAGAATCATCCAGTTTCAAACTTGCAAACTGATTTATGGGGCCATCTAAATCAGAGGGCATAGTGTGCGAGAAATTTTCCTTTTTAACTTCATTTACATCAACCCTATGTGTGGGACCAATGAAGACATTGTCAATGCTTCCATTCTCTTTTATAGTTCCTGATATTCCAGGTAAATTATTATTGATTATATTAACATTATTCACTCCATTGCGTTTATGAGAATCAGAGGGAGGAATACTCTCTGATATTTTCAGTGATACGGCAGGTAAATTATCACGGACCGTACTAACTTTGTTGGCTTCATCACACTCATGAGAATCAGAGGTAAGAGCACTATCTGGTACTTTTGTGGATTTTGGCAACTTGCTTGATTCCCCAGTGTTATCAACTGAGGATCCTTCAGTTGAAAAATTCAGAGAACCAAATTGCAGCTGATTCTTCTGTACAGGCTTTTTATTCCCACCAGAAGTCTGTTTTAGTAGCAATGATCTGGTTTCATCTTCAGAAAACGATCCAAATAACAGCACCTTCTGAGGAGGAAAAGCCCAAAACCGGGAAAAATGTAAACAATGGTCAGTTAAAAAAAAAAAAAATCAAATCACACTTTGAACATATTTCCTAACAAATTACACGAAAATTCAAATTCCAGTCAAAGGATCTACGCAGAAATAGATGAAAAGGAAGCTTGACTGCATAATTGATATGTCTGTAAGCTCGGTGACCAAACAAATAACTCTTTCTTTATTCATGGAAATCAGTACACATGCATAATAATTAGAGAAAATTGGAGATAAATCCCCTATTGAAAATTTAATTGGCAAATGGGACCTAAGGATTTTGTGCAACTTAATTTTCTTTGTGTGCAACTAATCTTCCCTTGTGTGCAATGTATCTTGCTTTGCGTGCAATGATCTTTATTTATGCCATGTGCAACTCAATTTCTCTTTGTGCAAATAAAATTCTCTTATGTGCAAGTCATATTCCTCATGCGCAACTAATTCCTCACATCCAAATAATATTCTGTGCAAACTATCTTCCCTTTGTACAACTTATCCTCTTTTGTGTGCAACTAATATTCCCTTGTGCAATCAATCATTCTAGGTCCCATTTGCCAATTAAATTTTTAACAAGGGATTTATCCCTAATTTTCCCTAATAATTAACCTCAACCAACGAAAAAAGTATATCCAAAATAAATTAACTGAACGAACATTACATAATCAAAATGGAAACTACAATCAAACCAGATATGCCCCGTTTCGAACCTCTCACAAGACAAAACAGCAAAACAGCTAAAACGGAAACAACATTGACTTCAGAAACCAGTTGCAAAATATTCACTTTAATTATGTAATAGCAGTGCTATCTCCAAGATCAAACTAAAAAGTCAACTTTCATCTCTCTTAGTTCACCAAAATCAGATACACACCAACACCATAATCAACAAAAAGAATGCAAATTTCCCAACCATGACAGTCAAAATTATTTTTGAGGGAAAGAAAAGACAAAAAAGAAAAAAATCACACCTTTGAATCACTCATGCTGCTAAAGAAACCGAATTACGCAAACTCGGAAACCCCAAATTGAATCTCAATATTTCGCTATAAGGGCTGTGCATAAAAGAGGAAACAAAATCAGAAAGTAGGGTTTTTAGGGACCCTGAGGTAGCAGCGCAGAGAGAAAGGGCAATTGAAGACATTAAAGGGGGAAAATCTGGGCAAAGGTTGGAAAGAGGGAGCATTTAACAGAGGAACCCTCTCCTGTTGAACCTCGGTAGCTAGATGGAGCATTGACAAGAGAAGAGTATGGAAAACGGAGGAGAAAGAAGCGATAGGCTAGTCGGTTTAGTTTAGGGTTACGTGAATGACCTTGTTTATTATTAAGGGTGAGGCAGATCAACACTGGATCACTGACTCTCGCATTCGGCTGCAGTTGTTTGGCTACTTCCTCCTCCCTCATTGGCTGTGGAATATGCCAGGCAAAATATTTAAAATATAAATTTATAGATAGATTTTCCTTTTCCCCACCAAAATTATAGATAGATTTGGATAGTAAGATGAATTAAGATGAAACCAAAACAAATCTCTCTCCACATATTATAGGACAAAATTATTTAAAATATCATATAAAGAAAAAGTTACGTTAGATGATAAGATTTAAAATAGAAAATAATTCACTATTTCGGGTGAAAAAACTGTTATAATATAAATTACTAATTAAAAGATAGATATTCTTCCTTCAAGGACAGCTGATAAAACTAAGATATATATATATATATATCTTCCTCTCTCTCTCTAAAGGCTAATTAAAATTTTATTTTTTCTTGTTTGGTGCGGTGATAAGACTACTGAACAGGTGGTCAAAGAAAAGTGCAGTTTGTTCTTGTTATGCACAATTTTTTAAAAGAATATCAATCTTACTTAAATATTAGAATTTAGAAAAATTAGAAAAATAAGTGTGATATTTAAAAATACTAAATTGTTTATTTATAAATAAAGGCCTATTTGATATCAAATACAAAATAGGATTCAATTTTTAAAATAATAAAAATCAAAAATTCATAATCACACTCAAAAACCATGGCATTATTTAAAAAATAAAAACCAAAGTGAAAGGGTTAAAAAAATTAGGAAAAATGACTAAAAAATACTCATTGAAATTGAAAAAGACAAAAGAATCATCCAAATAAGTAAAATAACCAGATAGACATGGGTTATGAATTTGGGATTTGCAAGTTTTGGTGGGATAACTAAAATACCCATGAAATGAAAACAAACAAGTAGGTGAGAGTTTTCACATACCAACACATTGACTAAAACATGTTGGAAAACTCATTATGCAAATAGTGACTTTCATTTTCCAATTTGTTATTCTCATTACATGTTTAGTAAAATTGTGTGCAAAAAAATTAAAAATTATTGCAAATAAACAAGTTGCAAATCTGCAAATAGTAACTTTCATTATGTAAGTTGTCGTTCACATTACATGTTTTGTAAAACTATCTATAAATGGCTTAAAACAAGTTGCAAAACTCTTTATATAAATAGTCACTTTTATTTCGCAAGTTATTATTTTTGTTGCATGTTTAGTAAAATTGTGTGCAAATTGTTTAAAAATGATTGCAAATAAAGAGGCTACAAAAAACATTATGAAAATTGTTATATTCATTTTAAAGTTATCAATCACTTCGTAAATGTTGTCAAAAGCCACCTTCATTATATGACACCTAAAGGTAAACATAATTAGCACATGTTATCAATAACTATGCAATAATAATGATTTAATATATTTTTGTAAATAAATTCCATCTACAATCGTAAGTCAAGTATCATAACAATAGTTGGACAATGCATTTGTCTATACAAATGCTATTCTCAAACTTCTTTCCCAACACAAGAAATTCTTTTCGAAACAACATGTATCTATTCTTTATTTTTTTTCGTTTGGCTCTCTTTTTAATACTGTTTTTCCTTCTTGCAAAAAGCTTAATCTCATAGTCATTCACTATGCTATATTTCCTTCACAACGATCTAGTCATTATTAAAAGAAATGTAGTTAATTATATTAAGAAGTGTAGTAAATTCCATAACCTACTCAACTTAATTTGCTTCACAATAGTGTAGTCATTAACATAACAAATTTGGCAAGTTCCATTAACAAATGAATTCAATTTCAATAACAAGTCAACTTTCTTCGCTTTATAGGAAAATATCAATACAAATATGGCCATTCACATCCCAAGTGTTGTCAGGTTATTCACATCCCAAGTGTTGTCATTTCAACCCAAACCAACCAAGACTATTTACTATTTAAGTAACGAAATTTATTACTCAGATAATGAAATTTATTACTTATTCTTGAATTATCAGAACAGAACAAAAAATGTAGACTAACCAAGATGACAGATTTTAAGAACAAACTTCATTAGAACATAATAGAAAGTTAATCAATATAAATGAATCCCATTATAGAGACAAGAAGTCATGGGAAAATGCCATAAAACTAGAAGATTGGTTCCTTTGTTTATTACATTAAAAGCAATAAAAAAATTGAAAGTAATAAACTTCAAAGAGATGCATCAGTGCATATGCTTGATATGAATAACATTTAGGAAAAATGGGAACAAAAAAAGTTACCCTTTTTGGTGATGATGGCTCAATGGTTGAAGCTTCTCACATATGCTCTACACATTTCTCACTAAAACTATCCTTGATGGTAGCAATGCAAGTGGATGACTTCGGAGAACAACAGCTTTGTAGTTTGAGTGAGTCAATGACTTAGGATAACGAGGGCTTCATAGATTGGGTGAATAAAAAAGTTAGGAGATTGACAGTTTCGTAGTTCCGGTGAGACAACAACTTTGACAATTTTGGAGAAGATGAGTTTGGGTGAGTGAGAAATTTGAAAAAACTAGGATAGTGAACACTTCCATTTTCAAAACCTTTAAAGGGTATTTTAATCTTTCTATCAAAATTTGAGTATTTCATATTCATACTTCATGCTTTTCTCGTCGTTTTACTTATTTAGATGATCTTTTGTCCTTTCCAATTTCAATGAGTATTTTCTAGTTATTTTTCCTTAAAAATATAATATAAAACTCAATCCATCGATTGACTAAATCCCAAAATAATCCATCAAACTTTTGAAAAAAATGAGAAAAAAATACCTATTAAATTTTAAAATAATAAATAAGTAATTTTGGTATATTTTAATTTGTCAATATCATTATAAGAGTAATCAACATAACCTATTTATTTTTTAAAAAAAATTTGATAATTTTCTTGTGAATTTTTTATTAAAAAAAAAAAGGTTAAACTGAGTTGGATATTTTAACCAATAGGTATTCTTTCCAACAATAAAAGATGCAAGTTTTCTTAGGAAGTCAACTTTCCAGGCTGCTCCGTTTGGCAGAGTCGTTCTCGTTGTTTCAGATCCTGCATTTTCTTCCACCCCTCCAATGGCTTCCGCCACATCTGCCGCATCAACCTCCACCAGAGAGATACAAGCAGAGCTTTCTGGTTTTATCCGAGTCTACAAGGACGGCACAGTGGAACGCTTCTTCGGTTCTCCGATTGTCCCACCCTCTGCCTCAGACCCCCAAACCGGAGTTTCATCCAAAGACGTCGTCATCTCCGACGACCCTTCAATCTCCGTTCGCCTCTACCTCCCAAAACCCACCCAATCTAGCAGCCGAAGAAAGCTTCCCATCTTTGTCTACTTTCACGGCGGCGGATTCTGCCTCGTATCTGCCTTCTCCTTCCTGAACCATCGCTACGTCAACCTCATCGCCTCCGAAGCAAATGTCATCGCCGTCTCCGTTGAGTACAGGCTCGCGCCAGAGCATCCTCTTCCCGCAGCCTTTGAAGATTGCTGGGCTTCCCTCAAATGGGTTTCCTCCCACTCAACTAATAGCCCCACCAACGCCGGCGACCCGTGGCTCACCAATCACGGCGATTTCACAAGACTCTACATCGGCGGAGACAGTGCCGGCGGAACCATTGTACACAACATGGCTCTCCGATGTGGGGCCGAGAATTTGCCAGGTGATGTAAAGCTATTAGGTGGATTCCTCTCGTGCCCCTATTTCTGGGGTTCAAAACCCATCGGATCTGAAGCTGAGCAAGGTCACGAACAGAGTTGGCCGGCGTTGTTGTGGAGGCTGGCATACCCGTCTGCACCGGGAGGGATGGATGACCCTACGATCAATCCAACGGCTGAGGGGGCTCCTAGCTTGGGTAACCTTGAATGCTCGAAGCTGCTTGTGTGTGTTTGTGAGGAAGATGAACTTAGAGACAGAGGAGTTCTGTACTATGAGGCTGTGAAGAGAAGTGGATGGGAAGGTAAAATGGATTTTCTTGAGGTTGAAGGAGAAGGTCATTGCTTTCACATTTCGAATATTGACACTGAGAATGCAAAGAAAATCTTAAATCGCCTGTTTTGTTTTCTTACTTAGGAAGTGGAAACGATGTTGGGACATTCTTCTTGTATTTTGATGGCCCGGAGAATAAAAATAACGAGATATTCTTATGAGTGATTGAGACTTTAGCCACGGTTGAGAGAAAATGGCCAATGAATCAAAATTGAGAATGAGCTTGGCACATGCGACCTTTTTTTTTTTAAAGAAAAAAATCAAATCGTGAATTTAAAAATAATTTTATAATATACGAAATAAATACTACCTCCGACCCTTAATATAAGACTCTATTTAACTTTTATTTTGGTCCTAAATATAAGACCCCAATTCGCTTTGTCTCTCATATTTATACTTTTTTTTCCAAAGTAACTCTTCTAACAATGATAGTTCTAGTTAATACACTTGGTTAGCAAGGATATTTTAGAAAAAACAGTACTTATTTAGGACAAATAACTAACTCAATTTACTTCTTTAATTTTCTCAAATTAGTCAACTGGCTCTTATAATTATGACTGAAGGTAGTACTTAAAATGAATTTTGTTTTATTTTGCCTAAAATTACTTTTGCAAAGTATTTCCCAAGTAAACCAAACACTCAGATATTCTCAACTCACTTTCTACATCAGTACTCCCTCTGTTCCTTATTATAAGAGACGAATAACTGAATTACGTTGATCAAAAAAATAGTTAAAATTAGTTAAGAACAATTAATGTGTAAAAGGTATAATTTTTTTCCCAAAAAGGCCCTCATTAATAAGGAGAGAGAACATGAGAGAGAATAATGGTAAATTATTCAAAGAAAGAGAAGTGAGAAGGAAAGAGAGTGTGAGTTGAAGACAATAAATATGGGTAAAATAGGAAATCAACATAAAAAAATAGAGACAACCTTTAAGTGTCTCTTATATATAGGAACATACCATAAGCATCAAATGTTTCTTATAATAAGAAACGGAGGGAGTAATGTATTATGCATGGGCTTTTTTTTTAATGCATTAAATCTTTGTAGCTTCTTGAGATCAGGGAGAAACCAGAGATTACACATGGTGTTATGAGTGTTTGGAAGCTTCATAAATGTGGCTGATAAGGGACTTCCACGTTTAAGGTTTAACACATCATTATTTTGGAATGGAATTTCTCCTTGTGCTTGTGACAGGTAGACGTACTAAAATGGACAAAAATATATGCACATATAAAACTGGCACTTGCAGTGAGTATAAGAATGTTTTAAGTGAATGATGATGTGAAGATAAGCATCCCATGTGAAGCTGGTCGGTGGACGATATCAGGTTTTTCCCCTCTTGATTCTGAATCTAAATATAAAAATTAGTCAGTTTTCTAACCGCCCGTTTGGATCATTGAATGTGCAGTAATGAAATGAAATATAAGGAAGGGGAACGGAATGTGATGCATTGCATTACAGGAGTGTTTGGATAAAAACCAAACCATGGTTTCAGAAGTACTTTTACGGATTATGAAGTAAATATGTAGAGGAGGTTACCTCGTTTTGCGGAAAAGTGATTCTGAAACCTAGGTTTTGGTTTTGCCAAACACCCCCTACATGACTGTGTTTGGTTTGCTGTACAAAGGAATTTAATTAATTAAAGTAGGAGTGTAAGGACAAAAATATCCTTAGCAGAGAAAACTCTCTTCTATCCACCCGGCGTCCTCCTTCCCTTTTCCACCATCGGCCTAACAAAATAACAATCGTGGCTTTAGATTTTGAATAGGAAAAATTTTGGGTTTGAGAAAAGTCTTGGCAACCTTCATTTGTCCCCTTGGGCTTTGGATCTAGAAGAGCAGTCGTGGTCTTCAGATTTGAAATGGATAAGAAATACGCAAGACGATGTGGCTGGTTTAGACTATGAGGTGTTGCCAATGGTGGTGTCGGCGCTGAGGAGAAGCATGCAGGTGAAGATTGTGTTTGATGTGGTTCGAAGGATGAAGCTACACCATGACGAGGATGAAGGGTAGAAAGTCAAGAGTGAATTTGAGTGGTGGTAAGGGATTACATGAGTTTTTTAATGTAATCCCTATTACTGAATTTAAGGGAATCATGATGCAATTATAATACCCATTACATTATTTTGACCAACCAAACATTGAAATGTGGGGATACATTAGGATTACGTGTAATTTCTAATCCAACCAAACAGGCAACAATGATTAATATAATTTTTGGTATTTCAAACTTATCTTCATTTTGGTTTTGATTCCTCAAATTTTAAACTATGAATTGTAGTCTCTTAACTTTTTATTTATTTAAAACATTGGTTTTTATAATTCAACAAAAACCTAGACTATTTTACCCATTAAGAAGTGAAAACTTATAGTTTGAAACTTTAGCACAAGAGCCAAAATGATAATAAACTTAAGGAACTCAATGTTATATTAACCATTTTTCTAAACATCAAATTTTAATTCGTTTAATCTCATGTTTATTATTTTTTAAATTAATTTATATAATTTATAAATTGACATATATATAGTTTAATATGGTATAAGGGTATTTTATGAAGATTTAGCCAGAGGGGTGAATAATTTATTTAGCTTTCTTAACATATTGAAATGAGTTGAGTAATTCTAACATTAAAAAACATAGAAGTAATACTATCTCCAATCTGTGATATTATAAACTAAGTTTTATATTAGAAACGAAAATAATATTTGAATCAAGTAACGAAAATAAGGTCCCATCATGTTGACGCAAGACCTCTCACGTAGGTGGGGCAGAAAAATGAGGTTAAGAATCAGCGTTAGGTTTTGCCTCCAACCAAATTGGTTCTGGCCTTCAATTTTTGCGCAATAGATTTCAGATTCAACAGTATTTGGATTACTTTTTTTAGAGAAATTTTTTTTCAAAATTATGAATAATATTAATTACCAAACTCGTAAAAAAAATGACAACATATTTTTATAATAATTTCTCATTTAGAATTTTAAAATTCAACCATCATTTTTAAAATTTTTTTTAATATTTTGAAAATAATTTTAAGAGATAAAATTTATTTTAATTTACGTAAAAACATGCTTTTTCTAAGTGAGTTTTCAAACACTTGTCACTCCAAGAAGCTACTCACATGCTACGCTGAGGTGCTGGTGCCTACCATGGTCTTTTGCTTTCAAGTATGTAATAGATAGATTAGATAGATAATAAATGTAATCTATAGTAGGTAGTAGTTAAATAAGATTAACGATGTATACGTGTATAAAAAAATATTAACAATGTATAACGTGTAAAGTTAAAAGATGAAATCTACCCTTTTATTTTTTTTATTTCCATTATTTTTAAAATATAAATATTTATATTACACCCGTCGGTCCAAAAAAATTTATATTACACCCAAAAAAACATAAATATGTATCATATCTAAATATGAATAAATAAAAAAGAGTAACATTTTAATAAATAAAAAAGAGTAACATTTTAGTGCTAGACATTTCACGTACCCATCCACATAATCATATCTTACCATATTGGCAAAAAAAGATCATATCTTGATTGGGTACATGTTGTTGCTTGATTGGGTTAAAAAAAAAAATCACATCTTATAATGTACAAAAAGTTATTATTATTTGAAAATCAATCAGTATCAATTAATTTTTAACGTATTTGGCCCAAAGAAAATTAGATTTTAGAAAGATTTAATACTCCTCCGGTCCTAAATATGAGTGTGTATAAGGGTTTTACATTTAGGACTGAAGAAGTATAATTTTTAGTCTTTTAAGTTTACTCTTAGTTTGATTTTGGTCTCTCAAATTTTAAACCACAGGTTTTGATCTCTGAATAGACTAAATAGTCCAAGTTTTTAGTGAGCAAAAAAAACTTGAGAGATGAAAACCTATGATTTAAAATTTAAAGGGTCAAAACCAAAATAAAAATAAAATTGAAAGAATAAAATTTGTATTACCCCTTTTAAAAACATATTTAATATATTTTTTTATTTTGATATATTTAGAATTGAATTTTTATAAATATTTTGAAAATCTTAATTGACTTTTTTGAGTAATCAATTACTAATTCCTGCTGCCAATTAACCACGCAAGAAGGAGAGAGACGCGGCTCTCTGATGGAGTCCGCTCCACCACTTTAAACTTGCTCGTGAAGTCGAAATGAAAGTTGCTCTCTTTCTTCTTCCCTGTATGCGAGAGAGAGGGAGAGAGTCCACCATACATAGCCATGCCGAACCACCAACTTCACGCCCCTCTTCGCTACGCCCCTTCTTCCTCTTCCTCTCAATCTTTCGCCTCAAAGATTCTCCTCCTCCTCACTCTTCTTCCCGTATCTTTGGCTGCCATTGCTTTCGTTCTTCAATGGCGTGGTGGAATCAGCGATCCTGTGAACCTTTTAACCCCTCCTGGCTCCCATCACTTCCCTGGTATGGACGCATCTCCCCTTTCCTCCATTTCCCACTCCCCGCCATCCGATTGTGTCAATCTTGGTCGCAGCTCGGCGCCTTCCTTCCCATATTACAACAATTGGAAGTTTGATTACGGGACTAATCTCAAGCCTAAGGTTTGTTTGGCTGCTTCACTGTGGAGATTGTTTTACTTTATGGATCGGTTTCTGGGTTTTGATGTCGTCGATCGCTTCTGTTTCTTTTTTATTATAGCTTCAACCATGATGCTGACAACTGGGTTCATGGTTTTTCTTATTTAGGATCGATTCATTTCTGTTGTCTTCTAAATTTTGAATTTCATTAAATTCTGCTTTTACTGGTGGATAATGTCCTGTGAAGTCGATTTTCATCTTTGCTTTTTGGAGAAATAGATCGAAGAAAGTATACTTGTATCTGCTCATTCGTTTAGCTTGGCGTGGAATTTGAATTTAGCTAGTTGAAGATGTTTATTGTATTAATTTGGTGAATTTATGTTTTTTAAGTATTTCGCGGTTCTTTCAATCCTGACTTGGATGCTGAAAGTTAGAAAGCTAGGTTAAGGGTTGCGATTATTTTCCGGGTCGGGCCAAGGAAATGGGAGCATCTTGATCTAAGCGGCACAAAACTTTTTTAATGATAATTGTTTGATGAATAATTTCAATTGTTTGTAATTTGAGTTACTTTGGCATTCGAATTGTTACATTTGATGAGAAATTTGAAGCATTTTATAAATATCTAATGTATCTGCTATTATTATATTAAAGCAATCTTTTCTTGAAATTATACAACTAAAGCATCATGCTGATCTTTCTTATTGATATGTAGATTTGTATTACAACCAGTACATCGGCAGGGCTAGATCAGATCCTGCCTTGGATGTTTTATCACAAAGTTATGGGAGTGTCAAACTTCTTTCTTTTTGTGGAGGGGAAGGCTGCTTCTCCTGAAGTATCAAAAGTCCTGGAATCTATTCCTGTAAGTTGATAAATTCAGTAATTTATTTTATGCTATTCATGATTTACTTCTTTTATCGGTTTTGCTCTCCTCCTTTCTTCCCCCAATAATATATCTCTACCTTGCTTTATGTTGTATAATTAGGGCGTAAAGGTTATCTATAGGACGAGAGAGCTGGAAGAACAACAGGCTAGAAGGTTTCTTAATTTTACCCTTTCATATGGACTCTACTTTTTTTTTTTTTTAAAATGTAATTTCCAATGACATTGCTGCTCTGTCGATATCTCAACTTTCATTTCTATGTGCAGGGAACTTCGCATTATTTTAAATTGAGGGATACATTGAATGATATTCTATCCTCATCTAATTTGCTTCATGATTCTTGTTTTTATTTTCCCAAAGCTTAGTGCCATAAAATTTTATTATTTTTCTTGCCAGTTCTTTTTCCAACTCTGTATTTTATTGTGATTTACTCTTCATCTTTTTGTCTTTGCGTCTTCAGTATGTTTACAGTTGCTACTAACTCTTCATGTTGTTGATTGTATCAGCCGTATTTGGAATGAGACTTGGCTGGCTGGTTTCTTTTATAAACCGTGTAATTATGAACTATTTGTGAAGCAATCCCTCAACATGGAGATGGCCATTGTCATGGCAAGGGTATGACTATTTTTTTCTTTTTCTTTTTTAATTGATAATGATTAGGTGCTTTATTTCGTTGATCAATACTGTTTCTTGCTTATTAAAACCCTAGGATGCTGGTGTGGACTGGATTCTTCATCTTGACACTGATGAGTTAATACACCCAGCTGGTGCACGGGAGTATTCATTGAGACAGTTGCTGCGTGACGTTCCAGGAAATGTTGATATGGTCATATTTCCTAACTATGTAAGTATAATTTTAAAATCTTCTTCATTATTTTAATTTTTATATGTAAGTGTCTCGCATGGAATTTAGAGGAGAGATGGATAACAAGTCAGCTTCAACATTGTAACTAAGTTGATATCTGTGTTGTTTAGGAAAGCAGTGTTGAGCGTGATGATATCAAAGAACCTTTCACTGAGGTAAGTCCTGGAAAAGTTTCATTGTCTTTTGTAGACATATTTTATTGGCATATGATATTTCTTCATTCTGAGGAGAGGGATATATATACAGGAGAGACGTTTAATGGCTCATAAATACAGAATGGTATCCTAACTGAAATAAAGGAGTAATATCTGCAATAAGAAAATAAATCTTCTATCTTCTATAATCCTAATATCTATGTCTCATATATTATAACGTATTCACTTGTGAAGTACGTGGATTGTCAATTTGACAACAATATATTATATTAGGCGCCTTTGTACATGGAGAGGGGTCTTGCTCACAAGATCTACAGGCTATTACTCATAGTTAGTTACATAGCTAGTTGATAATCTCACTTGCACTCAAATATATCTGGAGAGCTGGTTTTTGTTAGTAGAGGCATAGATATAATTTTTCTTTACCATTGCACTCAAGCTGAAGGGCTTCGGAAGTTCTTTCATCTATCTGGAACCAGTCTCACTATTTAGTGTTTAAGGGTTTGTGTTGATGTTCCTTTACTGACAGAATATGCTAACAAAAAGATGCATTGATACCAAGATAAAAACTAAATAATGTTTATGCATTGCCAGTATTGAAGCTTAGGCAGACATTGACATAGTGGTTAGACCCTAGGAGGTTTGTACACCACTTTGGCAAAGTACTTGAGCTTCCAAATTTTTTTTAATCCAATTCCTGCTTGGCAATGACATAAGGTTTTTCCTGCCTTCGTCATTTGTATAGTGTCAGGAGATATTTTATGTGCTAGAATCATAATATCATTGGTCTTTAGATCATTCTTACCCTACACATAATATCATTGGTCTTTTGATCGTTCTTACCCTACCCAAACAGTAGTTATGGTGAAAGTTTATATGATATATTCTGTGAGACGGTATGGTGTTTTGCACATTCTGTAATTGACACCGTTTTTAATCTGTGGAAGCAGGTATCGATGTTTAAGAGGAACTATGACCATCTTCCAAAAGATACATACTTTGGCATGTACAAAGAATCTACCCGTGGTAATCCAAACTACTTCCTGACCTATGGAAATGGAAAATCAGCTGCTCGAATACAAGATCACCTTCGACCTAATGGTGCACACAGATGGCACAATTATATGAAAACTCCAAAGTATAATAATTTACTGTATAATAATTTACAGTTGGTGCTTCTTGTTTTGTTTTGAATGTCACGAAAGTAATCGTTATTATGCTAGTGAAATCAAATTGGAAGAGGCTGCCGTATTACACTACACATATGCAAAATTCTCAGACCTTACTTCCAGACGTGATCGCTGTGGCTGCAAACCTACAAAGGAAGATGTTAAAAGATGCTTCATGCTGGACTTCGACAGATCTGTGAGTTCTGGTGTCAATGAAGGGTTTCCTTTGTTTGTTTTAGAATGGCCTTCTCTTGATAAATATTCAGCATGCTAAGCAGACATTATTGTTTTGCAGGCATTTATCATTGCTTCAACCGCAACTGAAGAGGAAATGCTGAAGTGGTATGCTAAGTTCCACTCTGTTTTTACCTGCCAGTTTCCTTAGTCCCAAATATGTATTGATCTGCCAAAACATTTGGCCTTTTCTTTCTTTCCAGGTACCATGAGCATGTTGTGTGGGATGACAAAGACACAAGGTTGAAACTGTTGAGGAAGGGCATATTGACTCGCATATATACTCCTATGGTAAGCATATTTAAATATTCAGAGACTGACTCATATATTAGAAAGTAAAGGAAGTAGTCGAGGAAAATGGTTTGCAAATGGGGTGGAATTTGGTTGTTAGAAAGAACTTGAATAAGTAATTTAATTTTAGACTAAATTACGTTCACTTCCCCTGGAGTATATGAAACCTACATTCACATACCTTTAGTTTCAATTTATACAGAAACCTCTAATTTATTAATATTATTGTTACTAGATTTCATGCCTCGTGCGGTTGTCTTCTAGAAACCCTCAGTAGCCTAATTTAGTGCAGAAATCACCAACGGCCAACTAAATGCTTACAAAAACTTAATAATAATGGGAGGTTGGTATAATATTTACAGGACTCGATGGGGTAAGATGGTAAGTTTTATAAATCCTTCGTGGTTTAGTGTTTTCAGAGAACCTCTTAATAAACTCCTAGAAACTAAAATTATATTTCCTGGAATATTCAGATCTTTCGACTTTTTACTATATAATTACTCCCATGGGTCTGTTTGTACTTATATATACCCTTTTGTACTTATGATCTCAACTTGGAATTCATTTTCTTATGTGTTCTCCAACAGGCCATAATACAAGGTTTGAGGGAATCTGGTGTATTCAGTTCTGTCATTGCATCTGCCCCAAAACTCTCTAAAGAAAATTTTTGATGTCAATTGATAGTAGCAACTCAACAAGAGGTTCTGCCTCTGGATCGCTTCCTTCTAGAAATTCTAGAGCAGGCAAAGAGCACCAAGCAACAGCAAGAAAGATCTTGGACATAGAATCTGCTGCATTTCATGAAGTAGCCGTACCACCATTGTCTCCCCCTGCAATAGAAGATATTGACCTGAGTTGACATGCTTGATCAATCAATCCTACAGTTTTTAGTTTTGGAACAGCCACTGGGTGCGACTTTTAAAATTATTTTTCTGTCATCCAATAGAATATGTTAAAAAGTTGCAGTTTTTATTAGAGAATCTTTTATTCTTCTATTTCCATGAGGATGGTTGGTAGGTAGTCATATTCTATATGCTGTTGATGATTCATTGTGTAAAGAAAGAGGAAGTTGATTGGTCTTTTCTAGCCATCTGTATAGAAACTCAAATGACAATGTGAGTTCTTTTTAGTGACTTGTGGCCCTCATGGTGAAATGAAACTGATGAGAATGAGGTATATTGACGTTAAATGACTGTGTTAGGGAAAATGACAAGGATTCATCTTTAGGCAAGTTTTTTTTTTTTAAAATGTAAAAGCAATGAAAATAATTATAAAAAAAGTCGTTATTTAATATTTCTTAAAAGTTGTCATTTGTGTTTGGTAAGATTAAAATAGTTAGATGCAGATCTTGTAATAAATCATGAATATTATGCTTTACTATAAGTTGTATATTTTATATTGATCCAAAAGGTATCATTTGGTATATATATTATATATATGCTATAGTATAAATAATTTGACTTATCTCGATTTTTCTTCAAATGCATATGCCAACTTGAGTTTATTCCTTGAATGTTATAACGATGTTTTCTTATAAAATAATTCATCAATTGCAAATCTAAAATATTCTTGTGACATTTGTGAGGGGATAGAGTGATCTAGGAGGTGAAATGATAATATTACCATATATAATGATAAATTGTTATAAATACCTTGATATTAATAATATTAATTAGTTGGTCAAAAAAATATTGATTAAAGTTTTTTTTGAAATATCATTTTCTATATATTTATTCTCTTTATTTGAAATAAAAATAATTTTTAATATATTTCGAAAATGATTTTTTTTTTGTTTAACAAAAAGAATGTGATTGTTGTTGCCGAGCCGTTTTCCTCTTTGCTTATCATGGGAACGAACTGGAGGTGATTTCTATCTCGAGGGCGAATCATAATATCTTAATCCACCAGCCATGGCGACCCTTCTCGTATCCAATTCACACTCTCTTCTGTTCACATACGCTGCGCGCCTTTCCTTCAAGCCTCCACAATTGCCCAACTCTACGGCTATTCGCTTCGCCGGCGACTCGTGCTACCGACGGAAACTGAGAGGCTTGACGGCGGTTACTCGTGCGGGTCCCGGTAGCAGCAGCTACTTCTTCGCTTTTGCACTCCCATTTTCGCTCCTCGCTATCACCATAGTAGCTTCGTGGAAAATAGGAGAAAGGCTTGACAGAGAATTTATCGAGGAGGTAATGGGAGCATTTTTATGTGGGGATATCGTTTTTGGTTTTTCTTGCATTGGTTTTGATTTCTTATAGCTGGGTTTTGTGATGCTTACTGACAGCTTAACTGATAATGGATGGTGAATCTGTGTGTAATTATTAATAGAGACAACATATGTGGAAATTTATGGGTCTGGTTAGTTATTTATGTTTGCTTATGGACAGCTCAATTGGTTATGGAAGGCATGATCTGGCAATGTGGAGATTTGTGCCTAGTCTTCCGCTTGTTTGAGCAAAGTCTCCATAGTGATTTACGCTGATATAGCCAAGGTGGAATATAGTTGAAGAATTATCTAGGGGGAACTGATATTAAATAATCGAAAATGGAAAATAACCTAACTTAGAAAATTTTCTGGTGAAGCCTACCTCTTGTGCCAGTTGAAATGAATTCTTGATGCGTCATCAGAAAAGAAGATTCTTTTTTCTGTGGATCACTATGAACTGGTTACCATAATCTTGGGATGTACTAAGGATCACTATGAGAAGGTTCTTCGAGAGTACGTTGGCATCATACTTGAGGACGTCAGGATATTTTTGCATCTTAACCCTTAATTCATTTCACCTTAATATAATCTGGAAGAAGGTCCTTTTTCAGGAGGAAGTTTCTCATACTGTGTTTATAATGCTTTTCGTGACATCAGAATGTTCAATTGTAGCCAATGTTGCATCTTATAATTAAGTTCATTTCTGACTTGGTGAGGCATCGGTATTTTGACTGTATCGACCAATCTTGTGTGCGCCTTCCAAATGTTGTGTCTGCATTTTCTGGTGACGAAGGATGTCTAATGCTATTTATCATCTCAATTAGTTACCGCAATGCTAATGTAACTTAGCCATGCAAATTTCAAGTTTTTAACCAGGTAGTGTATGTGGAATGTGTGTGTGTGTGTGTGTGGAACCGACCTAGCTATTTTGCAGTTTTGGTTTGAGAATAGGAAGGTTCTTTTGAATCTGATTCTTTTGGCTAACATGTCAATACCAGATGGCAATGAACGAAGCCATCATGGAAGCAGATGAAGACGATGATGATGGTGTTGACCAAGATGACATTGAAACTTATAAACAAGAAGAACCTGCCCTTCCTCGTGTTCGCAATAGGCCAAGAAGGGAGGCTTAGAGTTACATTTAATGTGTTTTGAGTTGTAATTTACTCCAGGATGCTTTTGAATTGTACTTAAGCCAGCAGAATCAAGATCGTGGAAGGAGAGAGGAAGCGACGGCTTCATTTTTATCTCAGATTCATGGAACATAGGTCTTTCTAAAGTCAAGAACCATACTCTATACCGAGAAGGAAGCAGTGAAAGCCTGAAATGTCTATAGCAGAATAGAGTATTCCCCCTTCTTCAGATGTAGCCAGATACACTATATGAGTATATTCGACGGAAAATGTAATTCCATTGACTTTTGGGACGCATAAAGTAATTGTCTCAAATTCTATGTATGTATTAGAAAATTCATTGAATGTAGGATTATTTGTTTCTAAGATAAGAGCTTTTGTGGGGTTATTGTAGATTTCTGCTCCCTTTTTGAAATTAAGTTTTATAAGAAAACATTGTTAAGTACGGAGCAACTTATGAAGTTAGCGTGCGTTTCGCGTTATTTTTGGGTGATGCTATAATAATCGTTTGATATGTGATTTATGAGTAATTTGAGCATGTCATTTGACACTGATTTCAAAAATTACTACCTCTGGTCTTAATTCTAAAACCTCATTTGAAGTTTTACAATTAGGACCAAAAATAGTAATTTGAAAAAGCATTAATCTTATACTTTCAATTTTACTCCTCTTTCATCTTGCAAGAGAGAAGGAAATTGCTAACTAGCGAACTTCTAATTACAATGACCAGCAACTTGAGGAGCATATCTAGCGAACACCACAATTAGCAATGTAATTGAAAATGTTCTCACTATACGTTATCTCTAATCTAGCTGATTAAATGACATTGGTCACAAAAAGGGGCTGAAAATGATACCTTAAGATGGCACTAGAGGCAGTTTAATTCAATTTTTGCAAATTAGTAAATAAATATTACTGGGAAGGTCACAGTTTTTTTTTCCTTATATGTAAAAACAACAAAATTACATGTTTAGAATTCTGAATCTCCCTCTCCTCCCCGAAACGCCCTCCCAAAAAAACGAGGCAAAAATCAGCTTGTACCAGAAAGTCCCAACTGACCTGTTGGATATTTTTATCGGATCATCCTATAACCAATGAACTCCTTAGTTTAACTGGCCAAATGTTTTGTGATAACCTGCGATGGGTCTGAAACTAAGACTACTTGTCAGAGTATTGCTTACAGCCACAAACTTGAATATATCAGATATGGCCCAGCTGAAACAATTACTTGATGAGCAAACGAATTATGTTCCCCCGTCCATGCCTCTTGCATCATCTTTACATGTTTGACTTATAAGGAGTCAAAGGATATCAATCACCTTCTATTACCGTCTTCCACTTGGCAGGAACTTGACACCTTTTGATTTTAACTTGGATTCTAGACCGAAGAACTTCAATCCTGACAGCACCAATTGTGCTGTTTTTTCCTTCATGTGATCAATTAGCACTTCATCATACACTATTGCATTGGCTTCGGTCAATAATTTCCGCTCCCTTAAGTTTGCGAAAACCTTCCTGGCCTCTTCAATCGTTCCATGCTTACACATGCCAGAGATGATCGCAGAGTATACGACTTCATTAGGAGGGCAACCTTCTTGCATCATCTCATTTAACACTTCAATCACATTCTCTGCATCATTTGATTTGCATGCATGAAGGATGGTAAGAGTATACTTAAACTCCATCGGTCCACTGTCCACATTGGCCAAGCAGTCGCGAACAAGCATCATGGCTGCATCAATCTCTCCAATTTTACAAAGCCCTTTGGAAAGACAACTGTAAGCAGCAACAGACGGAACAGAACACATCTCAATGATCTTATTGTGACATTCACAAGCCTCTGGAATTTCCCCAAGATCAACAAAACATGCAATTGCTATACTGTACGTAGATGAATTAGGTTTACATGTTGAGTCATTCATTTCACCAAAGAGTGATAATGCCTTCTCGGCCTGACCAATCTTTTGCAGAGAATCCATAAGAAGGTTGTATATTTTGACACTAATATAACCTTTTGCTTTCAGATCCGTAAATGTATCTAATGCCGCTATTGGTCCCTTCTTCTCTACGAAAAAGGAAAAGAACTTGGACAGGTCATCAAGAACTGGAAAGCCCAAATTCTTCATTTGCTTGAGCAACTGGCAAAAATCTTTCTTCTGTTCTGCTTCAGCATAAGACATCAGTAAGGGTTTAACGGATGCAAAGTCTGGTTTAAGATCTTCCTGTATAGTGAATTGGAAAATCTTGTAAGCCTTCTCAACCTGACTCACATTACACAAGCCTTCAATAAGTGAGTTATATATCCCCAGATCAGCCCTATATCCTGAAGCCATCAAATCCTTCAACAAATCACAAGCACAGCCAACCTGCCTCCTTGCCACAAATGACTCAATGAGTGCTCCATATATTGCTCTATCAATCAAATGGCCCTTTTTCTTCATCTCCTTGAATAATTCATAACCCTCTTCAGTTCTGCCCCCTTTAGATAAACCAGTAATTAACGTTGCATAAGCCATGACATCAGGCTCAACCCCATCCCTATTCATTTCATCCCAAACCCTCAAACACCCATCTAAATTGCCCTCTGAAACCAGCAAACGAACCATAGCAGTGTATGCAAATACATCTGGCTTACACAGGTTGGTCCTCATTTGACTCAAAATCTCCAACATTTCATCGATCCTCCCCACCTTACACAATCCTTTTATCAAAATCATAAAAGTAATAGACTCTTCAACCAAGCCATCTTCTCTAAAATCATCATAAACTGATAATGCCAAATCCAAGTGATCTGTTTTGACCAATGCATCCATAATCCTATTATACAAAAAAACCCTTGGTTTAACACCAAATTTCTTCATTTTCTCATAAATATAATAGACCCTAAGACCCCTATTGGCATATGAATGCATTCTGATCAAGATCTCGAACTGCTTCTCACTAGGTGGCTTCCCCTGTGAATCCATCAGCTCAGGAAGCTGATCAGCTGCCCGAAACTGATTGTTACGATTTAAGCAGTAAGCGAAAGCATTGTAGGAGGCATAATTGTGATTGTAACCCTTCTGCTTCCCTGCCCAGTGGAAAAACTTAGAGGCAAGGGTGGGATTATTTTGGACTTTAAGCACCTCAACCACCAGGTTAGGAGTCACCCTACGGAGCTTTTGAAGCTCTTCCACCACAGAAGGGCCCCACTTGTTCTGGTTCTTGCGGAAGGCATCAGTAATGAATCGGGCAATCGGAGATAATCGGAGGGAGATGGAAAATGAGGTTTCTGGTGATGGTGCTAGTGCTGAAGATGATGGAGACTTGGAGAGGAAGTGAGGGTCCCATTTGTGTATATCAAAGGGCTGGACTTCAGTATTTTTTGGTTTATTGGGGTTAAGAGTTAGGCGATTGGAGAAGAGACCACCACGGACAATTGGACGGTTTTGAGAGGGCTTGCGGTGGCCATAGAAAAAATAATGTTTGTTGGTTTTGGATGGCGGAGGTGACCGTGTAGGCATTTGCAGGTTTCTAGATTCCCCTTGATCTCTGCATTATTTAAAGCCAAAAAGAATATTTCTCCAATTCTTTCAGTATGAGTTGTTGAAAATCTGGTGGATAAGCTACTCACTTGGCTAATTACAGGTTACAACATAGGAAAATTTCTCGGTTTACTCACAGGACTGAGGAGAACTATCCCTTCCACCCACTTGCATTAGCATCCCCTGTGCGCATCAGTTGAAATTTTGCAGAATGATTGAAAATCTGCAACCAGGAAAAAAGAATAAAAGCTATCAACACACTCTTCATCAAAGCTCTCCAACTTTTGTTTACCTTTAATTCAGACTTCTTGAGCACAACTGCCTTCATGTTAATCCACATATTCTAAGCTGGGCAGTACTGAAAATTGAAGCTTATATATGCACGAATTTTAAATATTCTAAGCTGACCGGAAGAATCGCTTGGTTGGGGGGGGGGGCAGGGACGACGCCGGAAGATTCATGCATCACGAAGACGGCCGTAGTACCCGAAAGAATCGCTTGGTGGGGGAAGGGCCAGAGACTATGCCACAAGAATCGCTTGGCAGTGGAAGGAGCAGGGGCGATCGCTGCGCTTGGAAGGGTTAGAGCCAGAGACGATGGGTGCAGCTTCTCTCCGCTGCCTTTTCATTCGCTGCCCGTCCGCTGCCTTCAACGCAGTGCCGTTTGGGAGGGTGATAAGAGGGTGACGAGGGGTGATGGTTTTCCTTTTGACCTTGAAGGGCTGATGGCCTGACACTTGCATAAATGGGGGTGCTGAAAAGTCATCAAATGTATTACCCACCTGTTGGGACAATTAAAAATAATTAAATTTTTCAGATAATTAATTTCTTATAGTTTTTCTCAATATGGTCATTAGTTCATATACTCATAATAAGTTAAATAAGGAATTAAGGGACATATAAATTTTCACATTATACTTTCTCCGGTTCTCTTTTTAAAATTTCAAAATTTAAATTGGTTTCGTCATTTTTTTTATGAGATGCTGTCTAATATTCCTGAACATTAATATGTTCTTACTAATTTTATCCATAATTAATTTTTTATTCTCTCTATTCATCTTTTTCTCGTTACATTTTTTCATCATTTATCTCATAATTAATATTTTTCTCCCTTATTTTTTTTCCTTATTAAATAAAGGTATACTTTAAAAAATTAACTCTTACATATTTATTGCTTTAAATTGATTCTAATTATTTTCTTAAATCATATAATTCAGTTAAAAGGATTTTCAAAAAAAGGTCAGGAGAGTACAAAATAAAAAATAGTTTTTTAATATAAAAATAAAACCTTATTATGCTTGCAATGGTCAGCTTGAATATATACTCCTTTAGTCCTATTTATGAGGGAGAAAGAGAAGATATTTTCAATCCTGTTTACAGGGTATATGGAGAAGTTTTTCTATATGAATATATAATTTTACTCTTAATTTATTATTGTGTTGATTTTATTTACGTGAGATATAATCTATACTCCCTCCGTCTCTTTTTATAAGCAACTTTGGACTTCATTACGTAAATCAAAAATTAGCTAAAGACAATAAATGAGTAGAAGTTGGAAGTTCTTTCTCCAAAATATCCTTATTTATAGGAGGAGAGAGTATAAAAAGAGAATAAAAAAATTATTATAACAAAAAGAATTATAAAAGAGAGAGAATGTGTGATGAAGAGAGATGATGGTGGGAAAAATAAAATAATAAATATATTCAGTATTCAAATAAGTAATTAATGGGATAAAATAGAAAATTTGCTAAAAAAATTTAAAACAAATTGCAAATATTGCTTATATTTAGGGACAAGAGAGAGATAATAGTTGTTACTTATAAAAAGGGACGGAGGGAGTATTAAATAAGCATAAAGTTGAAAAGTTTTTTTAATTTTAAATGAGAGTTAATAAAATTTAATACTTCTCCTGTCTTTAATATAAAACCTATTTAACTAATGTGATTAGATTAAGAAGTTAGGTAAATTAGTTAATTATAAGAAATATGATATATTTTTTTAAAATACCATAATCATCTTTCTTAATATCCTCCCTCTATCTTCTATTTGATTATGGTTAAGGGAGTATCCAAAGGGTAATTTAGGAAAATTGATCAATATAAGAAATATGTTTGATATTTAAGACTATAATTAACTTAATAATTAGATCCTACATTAAAGATGGGAGGAGTATTTTTTTTCTATGTGAAACATGTTGAAAATGACTTATAAATAGGATCAGAGGAGTAATTTCTAACCTCGACAATTTTAACTTGAATATAACTGAAAAAATTAGATTTGGAAAAAGATAAATTATTTTGTTAAGTTATTCAATTACATATAGCCATACATTCTATCTTTAAAATTTTAATATTTAATAATATTTAATTATAAATTTATATTAAAAAATAAAATATATAAGCATATGAGCATATGAACTAATAACGATATTGAGAAAAACTATAAGGATCTAATAAAAGATAGAAAACCCTCACTAAAAATTAGGTGAAATTATAACAAATGGAAAAATTAATTATTTCTAAGATTTAATTATTTTTAATTGTAAAGTCTAATTAATTTAATTATTATAAAATGGGATTAGAATAATTTATGGATAATAAATAGAAAATAAATAGATTGCAATGGAGAGAAGCTGCTCCGAGAGACGATGGGGAAGGATTGCTGGGATTGGCTAGGAGAGTGGGTAGAAGCTGGACAGCCTACGGGTATAAATAATCCATATAAGCCCATTATGGCGTGAGTAACTCTACTGACCTGCCTAACCTGTTTTACCTAAATCAGGGAGCACGAGATTTCATAATAGAAGTCAAACGATAATAGCTTCCCCATAAAAACTAATCTACCATAACTGTAAATGAAAATATGGTATGAAATTCTAAATAAAAAAAATTTCAATTACAAATGAATTATATGAATTTTGTTGTCAAAACTTTTCATTTATTTATTATAAATTCATTTTATAATTACATGTTTTTGGGAAAAAAATGACAAATATACACCCTAAAAATTATAAAATTTCAGATCAGATTCGTTATAACCACTTTATTAAATTTTGACAATAATTAAGTTATAAATAACAACATATTTTAATGAGAATTTCTTATTTGAAATTTTATAATTTTACGTTTTATTTTCTGTCATCTTTCCTTTTTCTTTAACAGTATATAATAATTTTCCTTTTTTTAATATTTTATTTCTTTTAATAATGATTTGCCCAATTTTTGGTGTATGATGTCATACAAACACATTAATTGTAAAAAGCAAAAAATTTTAATATAAAATGTATAAAACCGAATTTAAGAATAAAAGTGAAAAAAAAATTATAATAAGAGCAATCTGTTATCTGTTATCTATTCACTACATATCTCAGTGATTTCTGCAATTTTGTGTTTAGCATTCTCTTTCGTGTTTTGGAAGTCAGCTTTGGGTCCCCAACCTTAACACCGACGACTTCACCCTTCGACTTACAACGACCTCTTCCTCACCGGCGATGATCCTCCGTCGCTGACATCTGACGGCGCCCAAAATTCATTTGGCTGACTTAAAAATAACGAAACTCTGCTCAAATTTAATGGGCATGTCATGCTATATGCATTAAGTTGGCCACAATACTTGCCTCAATCAAAACATAATATGATTGGAGTTGTTGAGCCCACTTAAATTTATTTGTAGTCTTAGCTTCATTCCATTATTGATCGATTCTCGCGGATCCTGCTTATAGATATATACGTCACACTTAATTCTTCAACAGTTTCTGCATTCATATAGCTTCAGTCCCTTTTCAGGTATGGAGTTTTCTGTTGAAGCAAGCAGCACCAGTAACTAAAAGCTTCAATTATTTGAAGACACAAGGAATTGCACAATGCTGCACAGTCTGAACTAATCTGATATATATATCTTCTCTTTGAAAGCTTGATTTTACAGAGTCTTGAAAAGAAGGACAAAACAAGAGGAGAATTACTTGCAACTTTAAGATGTTTGGCACCTACTTCTTGATAAGTGAAAATTTTGTTACTATTACCACTAAACATTAAATGGTTGGGCTTTCAAGAAGAAAAACTCTTGACGTGTTATTATTAATTTAAATCTATTAAAACAATTTATTAGATTAGACTAAAAAAAAAGCTTGAATAACCTGATTCTCTGCTGCAGCAGCACGATACTGCAAAGAGAGAGATAGACACATGACAATGGCGTAACCCTCATAATTTGTGGAGCCTACTTTATTTATGTGGCCATCTCTTTTCTTATATCCCAATGTCACTGCAACAAAGATTTAAATCCCCAAAAATAAAAAAGCTTCACTTTTATAAGTTCATATGGGTGGAGATAGAACCCATTATATTGTTCCTATCTCTTCATGCCTAATCATGATGAAATAATTCAAAGAACCCCAATTCTTGATTTTTATTGAGAGATCTAGTCACAAACAACTAATCAAACCTTATACATCACTGCAGCTGTACCCTTTAACCTAGGAGATATTTGCTTATAACTACTGCCACTTAACTTCCCAAGCCTATTACTACCAAAACCCTCACTAGCAGTGTTAACAGAAGATACAAGGGGTAGCTTTTTCTTGCATGGTGAACAGCTATATTCAGAATCAGTCTCCAAATTATTCCATGCCCTTAATCTTGGGGAACTTATGGGTCTTGCTTTGGCTTTTGCTGATTCAGTTGCCGCCATGTAAGTGGGTATCACAGGAGAGCTTGTGAATGAGTAGTCTTCTCTTCCCATTGAACACTGCCTGCTGTAACAGTTCAACCCTTCAATTTGATTTTGCCTCTGAGGGTTTCTCAGTTTAAGTGATCTTCCCCATTATCTTTTTCACCTTTGCAATGAGAGCTCAAAACTGTGTCTAAATCTTCAAGCTCTTTACTCTTAGAAAGTTGGGTATCTACCCATTGCTCTAGCCAGTACCTCCATCTTCCATTTACTTTGTTTCTTTCTGTTTCTGCAGACATCTGAAATACAATAATATCGAGGCTCAGTCATTAAATTAGCATATAAAACAAATCTTGCTTATTGAGTATATAAACTTCAGAACGCGGCAAAACATCTCAATATATCAATAATCACACACACACACACACACACACTCTCAATCTTGTTCAAAAAAAGGGAACTTACTCGATGGGTAAATGAGTATTGTTTTATTCTCTCTCTTCTGAGAAGAGCTTCTTTCTTGCTCATGCACGATGTCTCCACCTCTTCCTTCAGTAAAATGCTGTCGTCCCACCTTTTTTCACAGTTTGACTCCATCTGAAATATAGAAACTGTATCACAAATTCAAATTGTACATACATGTAAAAACTATAATGGCCCTGTTTTTTGAACAGAATCTAAGATAAATGCTATTATCTATGACTTTTATGTATAATATAACTTTTGGTCTATGCCTACTCTTATTATCTTGTCGTTTGAGCCATGGAAGCCTTGGGTTTTATCATAGAGAGATCTGCTTTCAAGCATTTGAAGTCTCCTTGAAGCAGAGACTTGTGATTGGATGCTAACAATTGACTGCAAACACTTGAGGGACCTCAGAGCTTGGCGTCTCACTGCTCTGCCTCTAATAATAGCTTGAAGCTTCACTATTCCCT